AATTTGGGAGGCATGATAAGCAAGTGGTAGGCATCATAACATAGGCATAGCAAAAGAGCGAGCATCTAGCAAAGCAAAGATAGAAGTGATTTCGAGGGTATGATCATCTTGCCTGCAAAGTTGTCAGAGTTGACTGGATCCTCGAAAGAAAACTCAACGGGCTCCTCGTTAGCGAACTCGTCTCCTGGCTCTACCCAAACAAGACAAACAAGCAAACGGAACACAATCAACCACGTGCAAGCTCAAACAACATGATGCAAACATGATATGATATGCGGGATGCGATATGTGACGCATATGCAAGATTTGACAAGTGATGAATGAACCTGGCCTCAACATGGAAATCCAAGTGTGCCACTGGAAAGGTGAGATGATTTCGCTTGAAAACGATATAAAGAACAACGGAATCGGAGATACGGTTTGGAAATGGCAAACAAAACAAGAATGGCACCGGTCTGCGATAAACAGCAAGTAGCCATCTAAATGCATCAAGATAATTATGCTACAACACCCAAACATGGCAATAAAATACATGGCAGGGATCCATTCATAATGCTTAACAAAAGATGAACACTGAGCTACGGCCAATTCATCCATTAACAGGTTCAAACAAGCATGGCAAAAGTGCAATGGAAAAAAGATTTCAGACTTAGTGAAATTAACACTTGTCTGGAATTTTAGATCATGTAGCACACTTTGGAGCATGAAAACTAGATGCTACAGGAACTTAACATGGCAAAGTAAAGCATGGCATGAAGCTACTCAAAGATATTAACAAAAGTCCCTTAGTGACCTTGAGCCAAAAGGGATCAGAAAATACAATTGCAAGCATGTGAACATGGCAAAAACATAAACAGATTACGGACTTAGAGAAATTCCAGGACATGACAAAAACAGATTCAACATGGCATCTTTACAAGCTTGATTAACTCACCACAAGGCATGTCATGGCATGGAACAAACTCTAGCATGAAGTAGACATGAAAATGAAGCTAACCATGTGCCAAACCACCTCATAGCATGTTTCAAATAAATCAACCAAAAATGCCAAAACAGCAATATGATGTAAAATGACATGTATGCAAACTTGCTTAAATGCAGAAAATAATGCCACCACTGGATTGGTGGGATTTTTCTATCCCAAAAACATATATAATATGTTGGGGTTGCTGTAGAGAAATCATCACAAGTGCAATAAGTTAGAAACTACCCTAAATGGAATATGATAGAAATGACATTTTCCTTATTTGGAAACATCCAGATATGGACTTGCCCGAAATGGAAAATGAGGACTTTCCATAAATGGAAAACGCGGGGATAAGGGAAAAAAGAAAGAGGAGGGCGCTGAGGGGCTGACTGGTGGGACCCTCCTATCATCCTCACGCATAATATGTTGGGGTTGCTGTAGAGAAATCATCACAAGTGCAATAAGTTAGAAACTGCCCTAAATGGAATATGACAGAAATGACATTTTCCTTATTTGGAAACATTCAGATATGGACTTGCCCGAAATGGAAAATGAGGACTTGCCATAAATGGAAAACGCGGGGATAAGGGAAAAAAGAAAGAGGAGGGCGCTGAGAGGCTGACTGGTGGGACCCTCCTGTCATCCTCACGCATATTGCAAAAAGAAAAAAAAGGGGAATCAAACCGCGCCCGCGGGGGATCAAACCCGGGTCTCCCCGGTGTGGGCATACATGGTCAACCACTGCGCTAAGGAGGGCGGGTGTGTATGGAGTGGGCGCCTGGTTCCTTTTGAACCAGAGCCAGAAGGCTGAGCCTTTGCCATGACAACACAGAGAATCACCGGCGCCGGCAGAGACGAGCTAGACAGCGACGGCTTGCAATGCAGAACCAGGGCGGGCGTGCGGAAAGGGGTATGGATGTGTGTGTGTTCATGCGGACCAACTGCGGGGTGTGCGCGCGAGAGATCTCTCGAGGATGAGCTCGTGCTCGTCTCGGGTATGGCGGCGGCAAGGCTGGGCGAGGCTGCTGCTCCTCATGTTCGAGTGCACGCGTGAAGGATGGGGCGTGAGGCGACTGCATCTAGGCGGGAACCGGAGCGCGGGGACGCACGGGCGTGCTGCAGCAAAAACACAACAAAACTACAAACTTCGTCGGAGCATCGGGAGCACATCAAAGACATGGATCTACCGAGTCTCACGGGGCCCTATATGCCATGGAAAGAAAGGGGTAGACGGGAACGAGCCGTAGACGACGCGATGGAGCTCTGAACTTGGCGGGGCTGCTGTCCGCTAAGCAGAGGAAGAAAATGGCTGAGGGAGTCAATCTGGAAGCCTCGTGATCACGTGCGGCATGGAAGCAGACGTAGGGGAACTTGGCGTTCCTCTCCACGGTGGCAGAGGGGGTCGGAGGCACGACGTAGACGGCTACTCCGAGCTCGAGCTCAAGCTCGGCCGGAGCATGGTGGGCAGGGCGACGTCATGGCGTGGCTAGCCTTACCTGGTGGTGGCGAGGGAAGACGAGGGCCTGGATGGACAGAGGAGAGACCGGGGTAGGGTTTGGACATGCTTTAAAGGGGCTAGGGGCGTCGGACGGCCGTCAAATCAACCGGGGCGTCGACGTGGACATGCTGGATGCGTGCCGTACAGGAGGTTGACGACGTCTCTGTACGCGTGGGCTGACTGGGCCGGAAGAGGTAAGTGGGCTGGCTAGCTAGAGGGAAAAAGGCCCAGGTGGCTGCACTAGGGGGGGGGGCTCTCCCCTTTTTCTTAACTCTGTAAATTTAAATTCACAGCTGTAGAAAAGGAAAAGTCAAGGGAGGTTTGAGAGGTATATGGTAGAAACAAAAATATCCCCGAGCTCTTGGAAATATGCTCTATTTAATAAAATTGGTTTGGACTATTTTAGTGGTAGAAAAATGAAGCAAGTTTGAATAAAATTCAAACTTGATGCATTTTTGAACCCAACCAAAACAATTCTAAAAGAGGTGAAAATTGACAGAGGGGTTCTGGACATGTAGCAAGATTTATAGGGAGAAGATGAACATTTGTGGAGGAGGGCAAGATGGCACTTGCAAAAAGAAAGATAAAAGAAGGAGAGGTGGTGATGCATGGAGGTGGTAATGCATGGAACACACATAGAACATGCAACAACATATCATGCATGAATGTCATGGAAAAGCAAGTTGGCATAAGCCCAACACAAACATAGATATGCACATGATGCAAACATATGATGAGGGCATAGTGCAACAATGGATGACAAAAAAGATATGACAAAGCAAAGACAAGAAAAGCAAAGACAAACCAAACAAACCCAAAAAGAAACCCACAAAGAGGAAAACCACTTAGAATAGATGAAGAACAAGATGGATATATTGCCAAAATGGGAAGTTTTACATCTGGGGTGTTACAGCGTGGCTCCACCAGCGGCCCTGTACGACCCATCTTCACCAGCAAACATTCAAGACCCTCGCGAGGCGGACGACACAAGACCTCCTCAGGGGCGGCCTCACCAGGGCTGGCTCGCGAGGGGCGGAGAGATCAAGGCAAGGGACACCTCGCGAGGTTCCTGTGACGCAAGCCATGACGACTGAAACCAGGCGGGCGCCAGGCGGGCGCAGTATCCTTGTTTCCTCTTTGGTGCTAAAGGGGCAAGTGCAGACGAGGAGTCCCGAGGCATCAGACAAAGGTTTCCATATCAGTGCAACACGACCAAGACCAGCAGGACGACAAGACGGAGGTCATCGTGGAGCCCAGGACGGTGTCACCACCAGAGCCCTTGGCAGGCGAAGACCACTTTTGTCCGGATAGCTTGTACTAGTTGTCTCCCTTTAAATTTGGCCGTTGTGGGATCCCTTCCCGCTCAATATTTGGGAAGAGGACCAGGGCCTCTATAAGTAGAACTAGCCACCATCGTAGGAGGGGGATTCCAATCTTCAACCACACAAGCACACCAAGCACAAGAACACCTCTCCTCGCGAGGCTATTCTTCCCTTGTACTTTTGTCCTCAGCCCAAGAGGCAATCCACCACACCACATTGGAGTAGGGTATTACACCATAATGGTGACCCAAACCAGTATAAATCTTGTGTCACATGTTCTTTGGGTTCGTCGAGTTAGGCCCTGAGACCGTAGAGTGCGCGAGCTAGAGTGGGGGAGAGATCTTCGTGCGCACCCGAGTGTTCGAACCTCAAGGGTTTTGTCGGAACCCGAAATCTGACAGGTCTCGACGGTGTCGGAGCTTTAGATCCTTTTACGAAACAGTAGACTAAGTCTTCTAAGATGTAGGAGTGGTGTGTATCCCTCCGATATTTTATTCATATCTTGTTCGGACTTTTGTACATAAACTTCTGCCTTCTATAAAACAACGTATGCCATTGGCGTACTTAAAAAAAAAGAGTTAACCACTTTCAAACCAGAAGTGAGCTCGTGCCAGCCACCGAGGCAAATACTGACGGCAACAACCTCAGGCCTCTTTTGGTTCATAGGATAGGATTATCATAGGAATAGGAATTTTGTAGGAAATGAGATGGCATGTATCTCAAATCCTATGAGTAGGAATAAGAAACAAGATGTCATTTGGTTGACACCAAAGGAATTTTTTCATTGAGTCTAGGCTCATTTTTATTTTCCTATGAAATATGGAAGATAGGAACCAATCCTATGTAGAAATAGGAATCTATTCCTATGAACAAAAAGGCTTTAAAGGAAAAAATTCTATAAAAATCCTATCCTCTAAAATTCCTATGAAATTCCTCCAAACCAAAGGAGTCCTCACCCTCCTCCATTCATCATTCCTAGTGGGGAAGCGCCAAAGCAAACAACCAGCGCGCTCCCCCACCAACCCACGAGACCATGGCCGCGCCCACCGTCGCCAAGTCGCCGCCGGAGCTCGTCCCTCCGGCGGGGCCCACCCCGGGCGGCGTGCTCCCGCTCTCCTCTATCGACAAGACCGCCGCCGTCCGCGTCTCGGTCGACTTCATCCAGGTCTTCCCCCCGTCCTCCGACCGGGGCGGCGACGACCAGGTGGCCTCGATGCGCCAAGGGTTCGCGAGGGCGCTGGTGCCCTACTATCCGGTAGCCGGTCGCATCGCGGAGCCCTCCCCGGGCGACCTCGTGGTGGACTGTACCGGCGAGGGCGTCTGGTTCGTGGAGGCCACGGCGAGCTGCTCGCTCGCCGACGTCAACGGCCTCGAGCGCCCGCTGCTCATCCCCAAGGCGGAGCTTATCCCCCGCCCTCCCCCCGAGGAGAAGCTCGAGGACCTCATCCTCATGGCGCAGGTTCGCACGCGATTACTTACTTACACCTCATCTCGATCCAATCCAACGAAAGAGAAACAAGACCCAGACGAGCGACGAATCTACTTAGATTCCTAACTCGGGCGCTGCCGTATTGTATTTGTAGGTCACGAAATTCACCTGCGGTGGATTCGCCGTGGGGATCTGCTTCAGCCACCTGGTGTTCGACGGGCAGGGCGCCGCGCAGTTCCTGCAAGCGGCAGGCGAGCTGGCCCGGGGGTTCCCGGCGCCATCAGTGGCTCCCGTGTGGGACCGCGAAACGATCCCGGACCCACCCAAGCTGCCGCGCGGTCCGCCGCCGTCATTCACGGCGTTCAGCTTCGTGACACAGGTGGTCGAGATCTCGCCGGAGAGCATCCTGCGAATCAAGGACGAGTTCAAGGCCGCCACGGGGGAGACCTGCTCCACCTTCGACGCGGTGACGGCCGTGGTCTTCAAGTGCCGTGCGCTGGCGGTGGAGCTCGCCGACGCCGCTGAAGTCCGCCTTGGCTTCGCCGCCAGCACGCGGCACCTCCTTCAGGGCGTGCTGCCGTCAGTGGATGGCTACTATGGCAACTGCGTGTACCCGGTCGGGATCACCCGGAGCAGCAAGACCATCCGGGAGGCACCACTGCCCGAAGTGGTCGGCGTAATGCGAGAGGCCAAGGAGGCGCTTAAGGTGAGGTTCACGGACTGGATGCACGGCGGCGCCAAGGATGACCACTACAACGTGCCGCTGGATTACGGCACCGTGACGGTGTCGGACTGGAGCCGCGTTGGCTTCAACGAGGTGGACTACGGCTTCGGCGAGCCTGGATATGTGTTCACGCTCAACGACGACGTCAACATCGTTGCGTCGGTGATCTACCTCAAGCCCCCGGCGCCCAAGCGCGGGATCCGGCTCATGCTCCGCTGTGTGGAGGAGCCACACGCCGCTGTGTTCGCCGACGAGCTTGCCAAGTACGCTTAGCTGGATGCTGCTTCTTGGTCATGGCCGAGTACATGTTCTCATACCTGTAACACCTTCTCACTGTACTTTTTCTTCACATTGGTGTGTATGCAATGTTTTCATTTGTTTAGGTCACATTCTGATGCTTTGTGCAGGTATAAATCACACTAGTATCTCTGCCATGTGTTGATTTCTTTTCAATGTGGAACAATTGTAAGCTGTCAGCCACAAGAATGAATAAAATTCAGTTTATGGTGGGGCAATTCCATTCATGATTTCATATGCTTACCAAATTATTTTAATTTGGAGCCATACTTTGATGGAAGTTATGGAAGTCAGTAGTTTTTCAGGAGTTTCCTGTTTCTGGTCTCATTGCCTATATGTTGATTGATGATTCATAGGTTTTAACATATGAAAACTCAAATCCAATTCTTTTGTGCGTCGCATTCACAAACACAAATAATCCAGAATTTTTTGAGGCTACCTATATGTTTCACACTGGTCAGTTGAGTAAGATTAAATATTTCTCTGAGGGGAGGAGTGCATGGAGAATCCTAGATCAGATGGTGCTGGAGAAAAATTGCAACAGATTCAAGATGGTCCTGTCCAACCAAATTAATCCACCAATGCGTTATGCGTCGTATGAGATGGACTCACGGCTCATCTGCCCAGCTATCTGTCACTATTCACCATCCAGGTATTCACCTTTATCTTCTTCACCGAAGTATTGACATACTCGTTTATAAAAATATATTGATATGAAAGTTTTCAAGGCTAATCTGTTGATAGCATTATCCTGCCAGAGGACATGTTCAGTTTTTAGAATGTTTGACGATGCAGAACGGCAACTGTTGGAACTGGAGTATATAGTAACAAAACAAATATAGGTAGAAATCTTCATTCAAGATACTTATTACTTTTTGCTGCCCTAACTCTGGCACAGTCCGGTGCCTTTCTACACGCCAAATTACAAAGTTGTTACTTCTTCCTCATTTTTGATCAAAAGGCAGCAGTGCAGCTTGTCAATTGTCCTGATTTAAAGCTGGAATAAGAAGTACTCCCTTCGTCCCAAAATAAGTGACTCAAGTTTGTACTAACTTTGTACTAAAACTAGTACAAATTGAGTCACTTATTTTGGGACGGAGGGAGTATATAGACCAGGTAGCTAGCCGGCAGAGTAAACCAGAGCAAACAGAAAACAACCTGAAAATGTACAGTGATAGAAATAATTGTAGTCTTAAGATTGAGTCAATCTACTAAATCTTATGCAACAAAAAGGCAACATTATCACAGCTTTCATGACTGAATTGACATCCTGGAGAGAGGAAATTGACACTAAAATCTTCCTTTACAGAAAATAATACAGAAAATTAAACAATCTTCCATAATATAGTGATAACAAAAAAACATTTAAATTATTTTTGTACTAGTTTAAGTAATTTGTATAAAGCTTTTATTTTTCCAACTGATTGTTGCATGTTACTCAATAGTTATCATGTCAATTAGTTGAGATCCCATGAAATTGCAGTTCAAACCTGAAGACAGGTGACCACGACAAACTTGCATTCTAGCAGTTGAAGTACTGCCTCCTTTCCGGTTTATAGGGTTCAATTCGAAAATCTCACCAACCAAGGTAGATGGTGAGTGGTGAAACAATTTTTGTAGTTTGCAAAACCACTCAATTAATGCGCTTGTTTTCTTAAAAAAATTATGTTTACCAATGCATTAATTGCAATGCATGCATGCATAAAGTACATGCATTGGTCAATTTTCTCTTAATACTTGCATGCAATGATTTATTGCACCTTGAAATCTGAACATGTGATGGGGAACAACCAAATTGAGACTTATAAAATGAGAAAACTAAAATTTTGAGATAAGCCCTATAAACCGGAAAGGAGGGAGTATATCATAAAAAATCGAAATAAACTCCAATACAATTACAGTTCAAATCTGAAGACGGACCACGACAAACTAACATTCCAGCAGTTGAAGTATATTGTACAAATTCAAAATAAACTCAAGTCAATTTAAATCATGCATATGTTTCTTGCTTTCAGGATAGGATTCTCTTGACTTATGGTGCTAACCTGATAACATAGTTGAATGGAAAAGTCACCTGGCATGTTTGGTAGTTTGGCATGGTAGGGCTCTTAAGCTATGTCATAGTAGTATCTAGTAAAAAGGTAGAACTACCTTGGGACCAAAGCAAGCAATGTGGGACAGTAACTAATACAAACTAGTAAACGCGCACGTGCAACGCACGTTAATATTCAGGCAATATATTAATTGCACGTGTTGCACATTAATATTTAAGCAATATATTAATTGCATGTGTATATTATGTATGCTATTATTTGTATGTTAATTCTATGATTAGTGCAATATTTGGTATGATATTAATTACACGTTAAACACGTTGAACGCTCGACATTGGAGCAGTCTAGGTTGTTAGATTGACTTAGTTTGATGGTCGAGATCAGTTGGATCTGCCTCTTTGGATCTTTTTATATTGGTATAGATAAACTTATATAGTTCACTACCAGGCAAATAATATCGGAAATACCAAGTCTTACAGAAAGCAAGAAAGGAGAGAAAGGGAAAGAAACGAGTTCGACACACTAATGGGAAACCCGCTGTTCCTCGTCAATTAAGAGACAAACTAAGGGACGAAAACCCACTGGTACCCTACAATACACCACCACAAGAGTTCTAGGAGCAGCTATTCCACAGGGGCAGCAAGATGCCAGTTATTATTTGGAGACTCTGAAGATTCCGATATCGATGGAATGTAGAATCATCAGACCTCCCTGTCCACACACAACATAAAAAAATAGGTTAGCACCGTTGCATAAAATGTCAATTAGCACATTCTAATCTCAGAAGCTTCCACTTACAAGACTGAGCTGTAATTTCTGCAGTCAATGGGAAGGGAGAATCTGCACAAACATGTCTTTGAGTTCTTCACGTGCAGCCATTTTTTCCAAAATCCTATCATTGGATATCAGTTCCGGTGACAGATTGCTCCCAGTAGGTTGCGGTTCATTTGAAAACAGTAATTTGGACATGTGATCCTTGGTAGCTTGTCTGTCATATTTGACCTTCTCCTTTGTTCCTTCTGCAATCAGGTTGTATGTGTACACAATCTTCTCCTGGCCGATTCTATAGGCTCGGCCAATCGCCTGCCGTCCAACAGAAGGATTCCAGACGACATCAAGGAGAACCACACGCGATGCACCGACCAGTGTTATTCCTTCACAGCAGGCCTTGGTTGATGCAAGCATCACCTTAGCCTCACTGTTCATGTCGTTGAAGGCTTCCATCAAGGCTTCGCGCTGTTTAACACGCACATTTCCACTCATGAGTAGGATCTCCTTGCCTTCTGTCCAGTCTAGCTCTGTGGTAAGCTGGTCCATGATCAGGGCCAGTGGCTCAAGGTACTGACTGAACACCAGCACTCTTTCTTTCAGTGCTTCGCAGAGACGGATGATCTCGAAAACGAACCATGTCTTCACTCCTTTGCATGGGTTCAGCCGCACGCTCTTCATCTTGTCCACAACAGAGGCTTCTGTGTCTGACAGCTTTGTGCTTGTGACGAGGAATGGGTGTATGGACGCAAGAGATATCTTGTATTCTGCGTCAAGAAAACCCTTCCCTGCACTTTCCTCCATCATTGCGATGATTTCCTTCTGACGAGGAAGAGGGTTCAGGATCACAACAGATTCTCTCAATCCTGGAAGAGACTTCTGAAGAATGTCACCATTATGGATGTGCACAAAAGGGCCCAGCTTTTCCCGGATTTCAGTGATGTGTTCATCCGTGATGTTACTTATCCTTAATGAACTCCAGAATTCTTTGCCTTCATCCTCCTCCACATAAGGCGCTGCTCTTGATTGGCTGGTGGAAGCAACTCCTTTCTTGCTGAGTCTTGTACAAGCAAAATCTTTGGCAAACTTGGGCTTAACCAGGCACAAGATGTTGTACAGCTCTAGGAAGTTGTTCTGGAATGGAGTCCCTGACAGGATTATCCGCTTTTCGGTGCTGACCTCTGCGAGAACTTTCCAAATGAGGCTCTTCTTGTTCCTTGGTGTGTGCCCCTCGTCGAGGACCAGCAAGCCGGGCTTCTCAAGAAGCAGGTTCCTCTGCATTTCTCCATCCTTGCCTTCGCCCTTGGCAAGATTCCTGTAGAGCGAATAGCTTAGACCGATGATGCTGCTCCCTTCATACCATGATGCAAGCTTCAGCATCATCTTGGATTTCTGGCTCAGTTTCTTCATGGCCAGCTTCTGGCCCAGACCATGATCCTTGGAGACCAGTTTCTGGATGGTCTTGTCTTGATCCCACTGGATCTCACTGGAACTGAGGACATGGAATGGGAGCTTGACATTCCATTTACTGAACTCCTGCTCCCATGTAGCCAGCATACCCCTGGGGGCAATGATAACTGGCCTGCAGTGCGGGAAGAGCTCCAGGTAAGACTGCACGAATGTGATTGCTAGCCTGGTCTTGCCGGTACCCGGGGCATGAGAGATCACACAACCACTTGTGGTGTCAGTGTTCATGGTGTGCCTCAGCTGCTCAATGTCGATCCCTCCTGCGAGTTTTCTCCACATGAACTCGAACCCTTCCCGCTGGTGTGGGAACATGTCTTCCCGTACCCCAGGAATGAGATCCCAGACGACGCCAGTTTTGTCACTTCCCAGTGCCACGTTGCTTGCCCCTTCATAACCAACTGATTTCAGGATGTCATCAACGAACATGTCAAGCCTATCATGCTCCGCTGCTGGCTCCCTATCCGTCGATTCCTTGGCCTGTTGAATCGAAGAGGTCAGGGAAAAGAGAAACAAGGTGCCTATTGATGCTCTCTATTTCTAGAAAAGTCAATGGAAACACGTACTGACATACACATGCTGAAGCCAAATTGTGCTTACCATGGATGGAAATACGTGTCTAATTTCGATTTCGATGTAATCACATTTTCGGCATCGAATGCCGATTTGATCATCATGAAAGAGATCATG